AATGGGGGGGATGGGTTGGATGGAGTTGGATGGGGATGGGGTAATGGGGGGATGGGGTTGGATGGGGGTGGATGGGGTTGGATGGGGATGAGGGAATGGGGTTGGATGAGAGGATGGGGTTGGATGGGGATGTGGTTTGATGGGGTGGGTGAGGGTGGGGATGCTGTTTGGAGGAATAGATGGGGATTGGGATATAGTTTGATAGGCTGGATGGGGATGGGGATGCTGTCCGGTGGAGTAGATGAGGATGGGGATGATGGTGAATGGGGGTGGTGGGGATGGAGATGTTGTTTGGTGAGGTGGATGGGGATACTGTTGGATGGGGTGGATGGGGGTAGGGATACATTTGGATGGGTTCGGATGCAGACTGGGGTGCTGGACCCAAGACTCAAAGCCTGGCCAAGTTCTTCAGCTCATCACCTTCATCACTCACTGGTGATGGCTCCCTATGGGCTGTTGACCCTCTGTGCACTGGGGCCATGCAATTTACCCTCTCCCTTGCCTATGTACCAAGGGAAAGGCTTCAGGCGAGGTTTGGGAGTGCTGAGCTGAGCATCAAATCCCACCGTGCCAAAGGGATCCGTGTTCCTGTGGATCTCAGAGCCAAAAGGCAGAGATGGGTGGTGGTAAAAATCAGCAGTGGGATTAAAAGTCCCCAACGGAGTGCATTTAGTGCTGGGATATGAAAAGCACAGACAAGGCTGGGAGGCAGCCATGGTCCTATGGGGAGGGGGGAGGGGAGGGAAGGGAGGCTGAGCATCACACACAGAACTGGGAATAGTTATTTTTAGGACATCTTTCAGTTTGGAGAAGAACCAAGCCAGTAAAATGGTTCAATATGGTTCCAATATTAAACAAAAAAAAAAGAAAGAAAGGAAAAGAGGCTGAAAATTGCCATTGGGTTGAAGTGTTGTATCTGAGAAGAGCCTTTGAGGGGAGATAAGATTGATGAGGAGCAGTGATGTGCAAAACTTTGTTGAGGGGTTACTGACTGGTCCTGGCACAGCTGGGGGGTCCCCACTGTTGGCGTTGGGGTTTGGGGTCCTCTGCCACAGCTCAGTGCTTTGAAGGCTGTGTGGGGAGGGTTCATTCTGGGAATAATTAGAGCAAAAATCACAGGGGTTGGAGTTGGATCCCAAAGCTGAAAACCAGCCCTCAAATAAAGGTCTAATTCTCCCCAGGCAGGAAGATGGAGCTGCTCTGGGGGGGGGCTGATGAGCGCAGTGGGCTGCGCCCCAA